AGGGATCCCAAACCCACCCCCAGCACATATCCTCCTGAGTGGATATTCTGGGACCTGGATAAACTGGGCTTCACTCCTGCCCTGCTCAGGGTATCAAGTTCTGCCTTTCTGCCAAGGATTAAGAGATCAGCCCGGAGCCCACAGCTAGAGAGCGGCTTGCCAGGCAGCTCCCCACCAACTTGTCTGGACGCAAGGAGAACTCTTCCCACTTCCCCTTCACTCCACTCTGTGCAGAGGCAGGAGGGAAAATCTCATCTCTCCCGTCCCTCCCCGCACAGCCCACGGGGCTGGCTGCTGTGGAGCCTGCACTGAAGTCCTGAAGGCCGGGCTAGAAAGGAGAAGCTCCACACAGGCCCAGGCAGGAAGCCAACCCTCCCCCACCAACACAACCCTCCCCCACCAACACACTGAGGCCCCCAGTGAGGAGGAAGGCTCCGCTGTCAACTTCTGCTCCAAAATGCTTGGCAGTCAAAATGTCACACTGCTCCTGGACCACCTGCGGGCTTGGCCAAAAGAGGGAGGGTTTCCCTTTGGCAGCTCTGCTGGTGCTGGTGAGTGTGCTGGGGTTGCTGAGGGATGTCCCCAGGCAGAGCACATGATGGGGACTGGTGTCCAACACTGTCTCACTCCCATTCTCTTTCTCTCTCTCTGCTAATAGCAGCAGAGGTCAAGTGGAAAGCAGCCTGCTCTAGAAGGCCAAAGGCCATCTATAACAATCATCCTGTGACTGGTAGATTCCCAAATATATAAATTGGGTAAACGATGCCTGTGGCTTTGAACTTGACTGAGGTCAAAGAGGGGGCCAAGAGTGAGCAAGCAGACTGGAGGTTCCAACCAGGGGGAGGCACCGTTGCTGTTATTCAAACACAGTGAGTACCCACGTGCATGAACGAACATTCTGAACAGAAGGCAACTGCCTTCCAGTGCCATAAGCTTCTTCCTCATCCTGTCTTACCTCTCTGAAACAAGAGCCAACTGAATCCTACATACCCTGTATGTTTCTCAAATTCTGCACAGAAGTCTGAGCTACTTCTCTTACATCAGTGGGGATGTAGGCTCTAGTTAAGAGAGAAAGCCGGCCAGGCACAGTGGCTCATACCTGTAATCCTAGCACTCTGGGAAGCCAAGGCAGGAGGATCTCTTGAGCTCAGGAGTTCGATACCAGCCTGAGCAAGAGCAAGACCCCATCTCTACTAGAAACAGAAAAATGAGCCAGGCATGGTGGCACATGCCAGTAGTCCCAGCTACTTGGGAGGCTGAGGCAGGAGGATCACTTGAGCCCAGGAGTTTGAGGTTGCTGTGACCTAGGCCTAAGCCACAGCACTCTAGCCTGAACAACAGAGCAAGACTGTGTCTCAAAAAAAAAAAGACAGAAAGCCATCTGACACAACAGGGTATTGATGGCAGAGAGCATTTAGCTTGGGCCCATTGGTCCAATGATGGGGACTGGGGGAATTATAAAGTGCAAGGCTGGCTCCATACCTCTTTTAAAAAGGTCCTAGGATCTAGCATTCTAGTGGAATTTCTATTGACACCAGGCATAATACACTGTTATCTGCCACCTCCGACTCCTCCCCATAAAACCACCCATAGTGAAGTACCATATTCTTGTCAGATTTATTACAGACCTACTAGGCATGAAGAAGTATCAGCTGCTTTTACATATGTTAAAGAGTTTAAATCAGGCTGCAACCCTGCAATGTAGATTCTAATTATCCACATTCTTAGATCTCAAAGAAGGTAGATAATTTAGCTAGAATCATACAATTAGAGCAGCAAGGTGGAGATCTGAGCACAAGCCTGTTTGGTTCCAAAGCCTGTGGGCTTTCCTCTGCTGCCCATCAGGCTTAAGAATTTCAATACATATGTGCGTATGTATATGAGTGTGTATTTAATTATCATCATTATTATTGTAAGATGAATCTGATATGGATTCTAGAGGCATGGGGTCTTAAAGACCAAGTGCAACACAGGAATCTCCTATATAACATACATGAACAGGCATCTGAGCCAGACACTTCTACCTATGCCAGCAACACGGCATCAACCATGGTACATCTCTAGCTTAAATTGATTCTTTGCACTCCCCAGGTGCTTAACATAGCATGAAGTATATGATGGGTACTTGTCATTTGTTCTCATTAGTAATAAACTCTCAAATGCTGAAAGATGAAATATCACTAATTCTGGCTAGGCATGGTGCTCACACCTTTAATCCCAGCACTTTGGGAGCCCAAGGCAGAAGGATCACTTGAGACCAGCCTGGGTAACATATGAGACCCTGTCTCTACCAGAAATAAAAAAAATTATTCAGGCATGGTGATGCATGCCTGTCGTCCCAGTTACTCGGGAGGCTGAGACAGGAGGATCACTTGAGCCCAGGAGTTGGAAGCTGCAGTGACCTATGATGGTGCCACTGCACTCTAGCCTGGGTGACAGAGCAAGACTCTGTCTCTAAAATAGAGAGAGAGTGAGAAACAGAGAGAGAGAATAAAGAAATATCACTGTGATCCAAAAACGAAAGTCTTAGACACTAGAAGAAACACCAAGGGGGCCTAAAACATATCTTGGCCCACAGAGTTGATGTCCCACCACTGGGAAAAGCAGTAGTATTTGTGCCTTTCTAATATGTTGATCCTGCTTGGTATACATCTCACAATCCTCCACCAGGAAGAGGAATTATGATGAAACATGTGAGTGGGTTCAACTTTGGGTGATTCTTTGGATCTAAGTCCTCTCCTCTATAGAGTCCTCTATAGCCATACAGAGAATGGCTATGAAGATTCCAGGTACGTCTACGGGCATACAAACAATCCAATCAACCTGTTGGCAGCTCAGCACTCCCATGGCTTCCTGTGTGTATAACCACCTCTAACTAGAGCAGATTCAGACCCTCATCCTAATCCCAGCAACACCCCCAAGTAGCTGTGTGACCTCAGGCAAATAACCTAGCTTCTCTGAATCTGTTTCCTCACCTGCAAAAATGGAGTTCCACTTATCTCACAGGGTTGTTTTGTGGAGTAAGCAAGGTAACATTTGCCTGCGGCTGCCCCAGACCTAATATATAGAAGGAACTTAGTAAATACTAGTAGAGTCTGAATGTGCTCAGAAAAGCTCTGACGTATATATGCCCTGTTGCATAGGAAGTGTGGTCAAAAATGATCTTGGTGACAAGAAAAGGAGATAAGAGAAGGGGAGGTAGTGAGAGAAGTTAAAATTAGAGGCAATTTTAAAAGCCTCCCTTCTTTCAACCACTAATGTCAATCTCTTGTTTATCAAATGTACTACTTAAAAGTTGGTCTTATTTGATTGAGTTCTGCCTCTTGCTCCCCACATCCTTTGATGAAGGCAGAAGAAATAACAGGTACAGGACAGGTTAACCAAAAGGGACTCAAGAAAGCTGAGAACTGATTGTACTGACCTGGGCCAGTTTGGTGAAAGGGGGTGGCCTCAGGCACCTTGAAGTGCCAGCAGTTCTCTACCCTCAGATGTTCCTCTAACTTAATAGTTTAGAAACCAGAGGCCGCCATCAAGGCATCTCCACCACAAGACATTTTTCAGAATCCAACCCAGACTCTAACCTAGTACCACAATTCAGAAATCCAGCTGTAGACAAGCTCTAAAGAACAACACATGGTGTGTGCCAGGCTCAGTGTTAAGCATTTGGCATACAATATATGCCCAGGAAGATGGTGTTTTGTTTTGTTTTGTTTTGTTTTTGAGACAGGGTCTCGCTCTGTTGCCCAGGCTAGAGTGCAGTGGCATCATCATAGCTCACAGCAACCTCAAACTCCTGGGCTCAAGTGAGCTGCCTGCCTCAGCCTCCCAAGTACCTGGGACTACAGGTATGCACCACCACATCCAACTAATTTTTTTAAATTTTTTGTAGAGACGGGGTCTCTACTCTTGCACAGGCTGGTCTCGAACTCCTGACCTCAAGCAATCCTCCTGCCTTGGCCTCCCAAAGTGCTAGGATTACAGGTGTGATCCACCGCGCCAGACCCATTTCACAGATAAGGAAACTCTACTACCGGACTTTTCTCAAAGACACTCTCTATGAGCCTTTGGGTCCTTCAGAATTGGAGTCTGCATGACATGTGGAAACTTCTACCTGAGTCCTCAAATCTAATCATAGCTCAGTAGTCTACAAAACTTCACACACAATCATCTTAGTCCCAGAGCAAACGTTGATCTGGGAAGAGGTTGAAGCTGGGACAGTAAGATGAAGAGAAGACCCAATCTTTTAGGAGCACAGCCTGGTCACTTCTGATTTGCAAACACTGGCAAAAGGCTGCATTTTCTTTCTACAGAACAATCTCTCCCAAAGAAAACCCCGACAAAGTCACCTGGCCTTGGGGGGGGGGACCTCTTCCTCCAAGATTCAAATTGAACTTCTAACCCTTCTTGGCCCACACCCACCCCAGGGAGTGGCTGGATGGTTGTTGTTTCTTTTCTTTTTTTCCCTGTGGTCCTCTGGTAACACCACAAATTACGTTTTCAGGGACTGGAGTCCCAGAGTGCAATGATGTTGTAATAAACATAACCAGGACCAAATGCCTTCCCATCATATTAGATGATGCCATTTCCCACCAATCAGGCTCCTCGGGCAGGCAGACCACTCACCAATGAGGGACCAGACAGAGGCTGTGAGGGGGAGACCTGGTCATCTGCAACTAAAAATAAGGGCGCTTCGTGATTGGTTGCTGCCACTTTGCAACAGGAGTTGGGACCCACACACCAGGCGCGCCACACAGAACGACCCACACAGGCAAAAACTTTCCCAGCCCAGGGGCTCACATAGGTGGGCTGATCTGGGTTGGTTGGTTGGTTTTGTTCGTTTTCCTAATTCACTGACTTGATAAAAGAAATAAAGACCTAATCCAGAGGGAGCCCCCAACAGACACACCCTCCCGCCTAGACACCTCATTTTCCAAGGCCCTTCGCAGCCACACAGAATTGGGGAAAGGGAGGGGGGTGCCAGCCAGAGTCAAGACACTCACCTGTCCCGCCGTGTCATAGAGTCCCAGGAGGTACTGCTTGCCCCCCACGGTGACGCTGACTGCAAGGACAGAAGTGGGGGCGGGGAGAGAAGCTCACAATGACCTGGGCTCTGGGGCAATTTCACTCCCCACCTGGACCCTCCTCTCCCAGCCCAGCTGGAGGCGTGTGGGTGCTCTCCGGGAAATGTCACCCATTTTTCCCTTGCGCCCTGCTCACTGTGAAGTGACATGGGGCCGGGGTGTGATGTGGCCCCAGCTGTCCACCCCAAGTCCCATAGCCACGTCTTGCCGGGCCCTCCAAATGTTTCTCCCAGGGGCTTGGGGCAACAGGGGAGGCGGCAGTGGGAAGGTCACGGAGGTCGGCCCAGGGCGCCGAGGGGGTTGGGGAGTGCGGGGAGCTGGGGAGGAGGGGGGTGTAGGAGGAGGGGGTGGATCCGCGGGCGAAAGGGTGCCAGCGGCAAAGCCGCGGGGGTGGGGCCGGCCGCCTGGCAGAGGGCGCGGCGGGGGAAGGGTGGGGAGCGCGCTCAGGGGAGGCAGCGAGGGGGCTCCGCCAAAGTTGCTCCAAAGTTCCCGGCCCGGGGAGCGGCCCCTTAGTCAGCAGTTCCCATGGCTTACCTGCGTAGTGGTCGAAGACGGTGGGCACGTACTCCTCCGGGAAGGCGTCGTTGGCATAGCTCATGAGTAGGCACGTCTTGCCCACCGCCCCGTCGCCGACCACCACGCACTTGAGCATCAGCGCGCCGGGCCCGTGAGCCATGCTGCGGCCGGCCGGCCTCCGGGCATGGTCCCCGGAGCCCCTGCCCCGGCCCCGGGCTCAGCCCCAGCCCGCCTGGGGGGTTCGCCGCCGTCGCCGCCGCTCGGCGCAGCAGGGCCGTCCCCCCGGCCCCATGCAGCGGCTCCCCTCGCCGGAGGGGAAGGGGCGGCGGGCCCGGGGAGCAGCCGCCGCCTCTGTCGCTGCCCCGATCCCCGCCCCGGGCCCGGTCGCCGCGCCCGCCCGGTGCCCCCGCCGCTCAGCGCCCGCGCCCTCTCCCGGCCCGGCCTTCCCAGGAGGATCCGCCGGATCATAAGACTGTCCGGCCCCGGGGGAGACGGCAACTTTGGGGAGGGCAGCGGAGGGGAGGGGCCAGGCGGCTCTCCCCGCCCCGCGCCGGCCGGCCCCCTCCCGGCTGGGCCCCGAGGAGGGCGGGCCCAGGCGCCTCCCCGAGCGCGGCGCCCGCCCGCGCCCCCGCCCCGGCGCCCGCGCCAGCCGCCGGCGCGCGGCCCTGCCCGCGAGCCCAAGCGCGACTCCCCGCCAGGGCTGCGCGGAGGGGCGAGAGGGAGGAGCCGAGGAGGAGGGAGGGGGAGGAAGGTGAGGCTGGGGGAGGGGGCCGAGAGGGAATCGCTCGGGAGGAGCCGAGGGCTCCTCGCGAAAGTGCCCGCAGCGCCCGGAAGCGTCCACAGGCCCAGATGCTGGGAGAAGACGAGGAGGCCTCTTGGGGAACCACGACGACTTGAACGATGACGCAACAGTCATGCAAAATTATACATATATATTTAAACTCCACCCGGAAGGCAAGAGCCATCCTATCGGCCTCTTAAGTGCACAACGGAACTAGAAATCAGGAAGAAAGGCCATGAGGGTTAAATTTTTTTCTTTAATTTAAAAGGCGCGCAGGGTGGTGGGGGAAGGGTGACAGGGGCATCCCTGAGCTGGAAAGCAAGGACCCCAGGCTTATTGTTTGGTCCCCGAGCCACCATTGCATGCCTTTCACAGCAAGAGCTTGAATCATTTACTATGAGACCGGTGACTAAAGGACTACAGCATGTTGAGTCACTGAAGCACCCCCCACCAACCGCCAGAGAAGGGAGACCCCTTCGGCTCTGGACCGGGCAAATGTACCTGTGCTCCCCCTGGAGGCGACATTCTCCAAGGACCCCTTTCGGTCCCCAGTGTCCCTCGAAGGTATTCAGTTGTAATCCCGGAGAACCCTCACTCTCTAAAATTTGGCCTGTGATCGAGGTGGCAACCCCTGCCCCTCTGTCTGGCAAAGCCAGGAAACACCCGTCTGTCCAGGTCCTGTTCACTGGCCGAGAGTGTAGCTCGGAACATTGGCACTGGGGCGAGGGTGCACTCCACGCTGACACTGCACCCCCTCCCCCAGCTTGCTGGCTTGAGATAAATCTCTTCCTTTCATCGATTCTCAGCGTTATCGAAAACCAAAGCTGTGTTGAGACGCAGCGCAGAGGTCACTGGACCATCTCTCTGGGTTGTAGGTAGTGGGCTGAGACCTCGGAGGTGGAGTGGTTATCCCAGAGGCTCACAGCTGCTCACAGCGCTCAAGGACTTGGGGCGCGCTTTGGGAAATGCTCACTGTTACATTCCCCTTCCTCACTCTCCAGGCCTGAACTCAACCTGGCATCTGATTTCCACTCTCCCAGGAAGACTTCAGCAATTATTTCAAGTTCCCCGCAGATTCCCATTGAGCATGTCTCCAGGCCCCGCCCTTTGGCCCTTTGTGTCTGCAATGTGGGCGTTTGCATTGTGGGCGTTTGTATTGAGGGCTGCTTTAGATGTACTGAATCTGGAAGATACTTTGTATGTATTGAATGGCAGGTTAAGGAGGGCAATACAGTGCCTTGAGCTCAAATCTTGGTTCAAAGCTGGTCTCTGCGACTTCCTCAGAGGGGAGGAGAGGAGGGCTTGCCCCATTCTTTGCTGGCAGAACCATTTGTTCAGGCAGTATTTGCCAGGGCCAGTATTCTGAAAGGAGAGTCTATCAGAAGAGGTTAAGCTACAGGAGAGCACTCAGCCGGGAGAGCTGAATTTGATCCCAGCTCTGACACTGATAGCAGTGTTGCCTTGAGCATGTCCCTTACCTTCTCTGGGCCTCAGTTTCCCTACCTATAAATAAATCCAGGCCCCTGGGTTCTGGATGCTCTGGTAGAAGCTCTGGGAATGTCAGACCACGCCAAGTGGGGAACTGATGTCAGATGAATCATTCAGTGGTGACTTCATCGGTGACAGTGACCTCATTCTTTTGGCTCATGGAGATGCCAAAACTGATTGCCAGGAATACTTAGAGCTCTGGGGCCAATCCCATGTGGTGTGTATATGGGGTGTGTGTGTGGGGGGAGGTGATCCAGGATGCCCCCATGTCAGCCCATGAATGCTTTAGCTGGATGCACCAAACAGATCTCAACAGAAACCTCACTTAATCAGGAGCAATGAAGACAATGCCCCAAGTGGTAAGATAGTTCTCAAATTTCAAGGATTTGAGAGACAGGAAGCAACTTTGTTTCTGAGTGTCTCATAGGCTGTCTGCTTGCTCTTCTCCTTTTGTTTTAAAACTGCAAATGTTGAAAGAGATAGGTCTATGTGAAAATAGTGAAATTTCTACTTAGCCTTCTTCTTTTTTTCCTCTACTCCCTCCTCCCCTTCATTGATTCATCCCGTATTTCAATAAGCATTTATGGAGATCTATTAGATGCCAGGCTTTATTCCTAGGCAGGGATGCAGAGCTGGAGAGCCACAGTCACGCAAGGGGGGCGGTGGGAACTGATGAGCAAACAGGTAAGTACTCTGCAATGTGAGCTGCCCTGTGCTAGAGAACAAAGAACAGGCTTCTGGAAATGCAGTGGAGGCATTTAGCGGGAGAGTTCTGGGTGTGTTGAGGAAGCATTTGTAGAAGCCGTGTCATTGGCCTGGGGCTTAGAGGCTAATAGGAGTAAGATAAGAATGCCCAGGAAAAGCCAAGAGCCCTTCATCAGGGCAAAAAGAAACAGTACACAACCTCCAAGGAATGGCAACCTCCCAGGAATGGCAACCTCCCGGGAATGGCGAGCTGTCTAAGGTGGACAGAGTGCAGGGGTGCAGGGGAACTGTTTATATTTCTTTGGGAACCATATAATGCAGCCATTCTATGGCTTCTGACAGTGAAATGAAGAATGCAGGGCCCCACCCTGGTTGGGCAGTCTGTGCACTGTGCAAGGGCCAAGAGCCATGGCCAAGGGCACTGCTGGGGAAGTCTGGCCCACGTGCTACCCACAAAGGCACGGCCCCAGCTCAAGCCTGTGTTCATAGCAAGAAAGGGCATTTTTTGTTTCCTTATCACAGTTGAGCCCTCTGCTTGTCAAACCCTGTGCCCATAGGGGTGCATCTAACCAGAAGGAGGCACATTCTACTTAGCAAAAGATGAAGGCACTTATCTATGTAGGCAACAAGAGGCCCTGGGAGTGAGGAAGCAATGAAGGGAATAAACAAGAACTTGTAGAGCATCTGCTGTTACTATAGCTGTGTGCTGTACCCAGGCACTGTTCCTGGTATTTGATGCTCATTGGTAAAGGTCATCTTATTTCATCCCCAAAGCAACCATGCAATGTAAGATTTGTAGAGAGTATCTGCTGGTTTGTCCATCCAGAACAGCTCCATTTGCTTCTGCTAAATGCTCTTTCTGATTTAATCTCTGTCATCATGTGGTTTAGATGGAAGCTGTCATTTTATTGCACATCCTGCCCCTATCTTCTGTTGATTAGCCCTAGGTGGGTATGTGATACAAGATGTGACAATCAAAGCCCTTTCCTGAGAATTTGGAATTTGGGATTCACAGCAGGAGTTTCTCCTCTTTTACTGACGACACTGGGCAATGTGAGCCATTTGTGTTTCGGCCATTCACAAAATAGCCAATCCAAAGAAGCGAAGCTAAAGTGCAAAGGGAAGCAAATATGGAAAGCCACACCCACTCTTCCCCATACCCCTGCCAAAAGAGGCCAAGAAGAAACAGACCATCTGTGAGTTCTTAATTCTAGTTATCCCTGAGACCCTCTTGTGCTACTGTCCTTCCATCCATTACTAGAGTTAATAAATCTTCCTCTCTTTTTGCCTAGTGAGCAGGGGTTAGTAATCTGTCACTGGTAACCAAAGGAATCCTGACTATCAGTCTTACCACTATCGTTTAGATAGGTGATGTGCAGAGAGATTAAGACACTTGCCCAAAGTCACACAGCTGGTAAGTGGCAGAGCTAGGTTTCAAAATGTTCTGTCTTCAAAGCTCATGCTATTTGCCGTGTTCCACGTTGATGAGGTATCAAAAGTTTTTGAGTAGAAAATGACAAGTTCAGATCTGTCATTTGAGAAGGTCACTCTGGGACTGCTGTAGAAAATGGATTTGGAGAGGACAAGGTGAAGGCAGAGAGAGTGAGGAAGAGACAGAACAAGAAAGTCTGAACTGAACATGGCAGTGGGTTTCAGAAACATTTAGATGACAGAATCCACAGACTTGTGTGAGGGAGAACAAGGATTCTAGATAACTCTGAGGCTTCTGCATTGTTGTGACTCCATCTACCTTCTCCTTCTTTCTTTTCCTTTTTAATCTCCTCTGTTGCTCTTCTCTCACTTCTTCTTGGGTATCTTCTGCACTTGTTAAACCTTTCCCATCTCCTGTTGATTCCTAACCATGCAACCAACTGCCTAAATCAAGCTGAGAAGTAGAACTCCAGAAGGACAGTAAGGTTCTAAAAGACATTCATTTTTGTCATTTCATGTGTCCCCTACATCCACTTAAGAAATGGAAGAATGGACTCCCATAGATCATTTGGTGTGGTGGAAACAATGCTTTAGGTTGCAAGTGACAGAAAAGCCAACACAAACCAGCTTCAACAACAAAGGAAGTGTGTGGACTTCTATAATGGAGAAAAATCCAGAAGTAGCTCAAGCTTCAGGTCATGAATTGATCAGAAGCCTCGTTCTTTTTTATTCAGCAATTTTCTTGGTTTTTCTCTTCTCTATGGGTCAACTTTCTACTTATGTTGCCTTCTCTCTTGGAAGCAAAAGGCTGCACCAGGTCCAGGCATCACCATCCATATACCACACTGCCCTGAAGGAGAGAGAGCTTCTCTTGACCCACTTATTGAGCAAAGCCTTGGACTTCCTCTGATGAGATTGTTTAGTTCATCCCTGAACTAATCATGGTGGCCAGCAAAACATCAGGTGGCAGTTGTCTTAGGCCTGTGACAGCGGTTAGATCTATCCTAATTGGGCTTGTCAGGCCCACCCCACAGGGGCTGGAGTGTTGCCTCCACCCAGATTC